TAAGATCAGTGTGAGACCAGAAGAGATGGCCCACAGGGATTCATTCAAGACTGCAGGGTCAATAACAAGAGGCTAGGCTTTAAAGCTACAGAATTTTCTGCACTTTTTAATCCTAATATTTCCTTATCTTTGAACACTAGCTGACATGGTTGACATTTTTGTACTTTCCAAGTCTCTGGTAGTTTAATACTCTCCTTATATTTTGATTGCATCCACACTTGCAAATGTGTGCATGTACTCATCCACACACACACATACACACCATACACAAATGTATATCTATTTTCTTTTATGATTCCTTTTCTATAATATTATTGCTATCTCTCTGTTTTTACTAATTCATCTCACTCATGAAGACTCTTCTAGTCTCATCATTTCAGTAGTTGTGTCCATTAAAAACAATATAGCAAGGAAATATGCCCAGGACTAATATAACAATAAATGTTAAGTAAACAGAATCATCATAAAATATAGAGATGGTTAGGTTCTACAACAAAAACCTTTGACCTAAAATTTTTAGTACATTCTAAATTCTTGTTAGTCCCATATTTTAATTATAGTAGGATTAAAATAAATTGTAAAGCATAAACATGGTAAACTAATGTATTTGTAAACACAAAAATATAGTCATAATTTTTCCAATATGAAATTGAGAACAGCCAAAATGGAAATTCCTAAGTATCTTCAATTTGACAGTAATGAAATTTTCTTTTATCTCATACACACAGTAATACAGTGGATGAAAGCCTAAATGTGAAAAGTAAAGGTAGTTCATTTTTAAAGGACTATTATGAATATAACCATGAGAGGTGGTACACATTTGTGTTATTTATTTTAGAGTTATATATTTCCTTACATGCTGTATAACAGATTACATAAATTGTTTTCATACTGCTACAAAAAGCAGACAACATAAAATAGAAAAAAAAGTAAATGAAATAGAGCCACAATTAATGAAATGTCAAAATATTTTAAAAGAAAGGTGAACTCTACTGATTTCAAAAATTACATCTGCCAGGTGACACTTTGAGTCATTTACACTAGTCATGCATCTAGCTCTCATAATTTTGTGTGGTAAGGTTAAAAAAGAATGTTCACAGTGAAATTGTGACAATGGTAAACTGTAAATAGAGGAAACATTTAAGGACATGGAAAGATGTCTAGGTTGTGACATAATATTCCAAAATAGTGCTTTATGACCGTAAAAATGAAACCAAGTTTTATGTAGATTATAAGTCAATACTGTCAACTATACAGCTAAGAATGGAATTTATATACATTTTTAAATTGCCAGTCCTCTTACTTGTTTTCTCCTACATATGATGTTCATCCCATTTGTCTTTCTAAGTGAGGGTTGATCATCTTACCCAGGGTCCTCTTTCTTGTTTATCTTCTTTAGGTGTACAGATTTCAGTATGTTTGTCCTATCTTATAGGTCTAGTACCCACTTATAAGTGAGTATATACCTTGTGTGTCTTTCTTCTTCTGGATATTTTCTAGATCCACCCATTTATCTGCAAGTTTCATGATTTCCTTGTTTTTAATTGCTGAGTAGTATTCCATTGTCTAAAAGTACACAATTTTTGTATCCATTCTTCCATTGATGGATATCTGGGTTGTTTCTAGGTTCTAGCTATTATGAATAAAGCTGCTATGAACATGGTTGAGCAAATGTCCTTATTGTGTACTGGACAGGAGCCTACCACAGAGGGCCTCTGAAAGTCTCTACCTAGCAGTGCATCAAAGCAGATACTGAGACTCATAACCAAATCTTCAGCAGAGTGCAGAGAATCATATGAAAGAAAGGGGAGTTAGGATGACCTGGGGAGGACAGGAGCTCCACAAGGACCAAATATATCTGGGCACAGGGGTCTTTTGTGAGACTGTTTCTCTAACCAAGGACCGTGTATGGGTATAACCTAGAACCCCTGCTCTGATGTAGCCCATGGTAGCTCAGTACCCAAGTGGGTTTCCTAGTAAGTGGAACAGGTACTATTTCTTACATGAATTCAATGGCTGGCTCTTTGACCTTTCCCCCTACCCGAGGGAGGAACAGCCCTGCTAGGCCACAGGAGGAGGACTCAGCAGCCAAACCTGAAGATACCTGATAAGCTAAGGTCATATAAAAGGGTAGGAGGTCCTCCCCAATCAGTGGACTTGGAAAGGGATAGGGAAAAGATGAGGGAGAGAGGGTGGGGTTGAGAGAGAATGATAGAGAGGGATACAGCTGGGATACAAAGTTAATAAACTGTAACTAACATTAAAAAATAAAAAAAATAATTAAAAAATAAATAAATTGCCATAACATGTAATTTACACTCCTAAACTCATGCATGGGATTGATAAGTGCCAAATTCAAGATAAATTTTCTTCCAATACCAAGGGAACATAATTGAGAATGAGTAAGACAGGATGTAGTCTTAAGTAATCTTTATGATAAGCATCACAATGTGATTGTACTATTATTAATTAATTGATTTTGTGTGTGAGAGAGATTATAAAAAGGGGAAGAAGAGAGAGAGGGACAGAAAAAGAACTCATGTGCAATTCAGAATATAACTTGCATGATTTTTTTTTCCTTTATCATGTGGGTTATGGAAATCTAACTGGTTATCATCGGTTTTGACAGGAAGTATGCTTAACCAGCTTCATAATATTTTTATACACTTTTATGTGTCTGGAAACAAGATAATATAAAGTACATATGAATGTCCCCCTCCCATTCTGGAAAACATGTAAGATACTTGAAAGCCAAAGCGTCATACACACTGGAGTGATGGTCATTGTCTTCTGAGATTGCAGAGCTTTGAACAAGAGAAAAAGAGACCAGCTTCAGTTCCAGCTGTTCACAGAAAAATAAAGTTCTTTGCTCAGGCTGGTCCAGATTTTACTCTGTTGTGGAAATAGTAGAGAATGTTGGTTGTTAGCTTTGCTTAGAATGAAACAGCTTTGGCCTGTGGGAATAGGAGGCAAAGACACTCTTCCTGTTGGATAGATTTGATGGAAACACTTGGTATGCTATAAAGTCTTATTTTTTAATTTTTTATTATTATCATTTATTACAATTTATTCAATTTGTATCCTGTCTGTAGCCCTCTCCCTCATCCCCTCTTGATCCCACCTCCTCCTTCTCCCCCATGCCCCTCCCCTAGTCTACTGTTAGCTAAGGTCTTCTTCCCTATCTATCTGATCCTAGCCTATCAGGTCTATCAGGACTGCCTGCATTGTCTTCCTGAGTGGCCTAGCAAGGCTGCACCCTCCACGGGGAGGTGATCAGAGAACCTGTCACTGCAGGCAAATGATGGGAACTAGAAAAGGTCATCTTGAGTGAGGTAACCCAGAAACAGAAAGACACTCATGGTATATACTCACTCATAAGTGGGTCTATAATCCTTGAACTTGGTACCTGTAAATTTTTAATACTTGCTTTTTGGTTGGTTTTCAGGATATGATCACCAACCACATCAATAAGTACAAACCCCCTCAGAATCATATAAAACCTACCTTAATTTTCCAAAAGTGTAAAAAATAAATTTGAAGCTTTATGTAAAAGTTTAAAATGTCTTCAATTTCCTTTCAAAAATAAATGTGACATGTTTCAGAATTTTAGATTATACTATTGGAAATAAATACTTGCATGGATGATTATCATAACACAAACACTTATCTTTTAATCTAGCTTTTATATTTTAAATTAAATGAAATTCCCTAAATAGTGATTATGTGATCCATAAAGAGTGAAGGTAATATTGTATTATGGAATGTTCCGGTGCATATTAGGAGCGTAGCACAGGCCTACTCTTCATTTCCTGTTGCTGTTCTGGTATGTTTTTGATGCTAATCATTATCACCCAGACATTTTGGTGGAGCGGTAGGCAACTTTCAATTGATTTTCACTAGTCCAAACAGTGTATTTATTTTGTAATAAAAGGCTATAAATTTGTCTTTTAATATTTTACTTAAGTGAAGGAACTACTTTCTAAGATGTTTATTTTCAAGCATATGATGATTTGTTTTTACATTTGGAAGTGTATAATCAAATATTTCTATTTGTATGTGTATTTGCACGAACATATAAACAGTGACAAATACTGGCATTCAACAGACTGTCAGTAATAATAATGAACACCATTGTAAGCATGTATTTCATCTAAAATGTTTGTGGGTGCTTGTGTGTGTCGGAAAGAGAGAGAGAGAGAGAGAGAGAGAGAGAGAGAGAGAGAGAGAAATTAACTCAGTTCCGTTAAGCTAAAATATTGATGACTGACAACAGAGGAGTCATTAGCTGGTGTGTACAGTTGTGTTAAAGCGTGTTTCACACAATGATTACTTGAAATATGCAGAATCTAAGTGATCCGATCTGGGTAAAATTCTTGTATTGCACACAACCAACTTAATAATCATTTACTATGGTTTTGAATTCATCATTTACTAAGTCATACTTTGCTAGCATTATGGCATATCACCATTTGCTAATTAAAAAAAAAAAGAAAAGGATTCAACACATTGACTGTCGGCCGAGTATGATATCTCCAGTATATCTGACAAAACATTTAATAGCTGTTTTTTTTCTTCTATATTTACTTACATTTGCTTACTTACTTATGAAGCCAGAATGCTGCCTGCTCCACCATTATTGGAATAATCTACAATGACCCATACAGACTCATTCACACACCCCCAGGAAGCACTTCTAAATGATGTGCCACATACAGCAGTTACCTCGAAAGAGTTGTTCAACTGAGAGTGGGAAGAAAAAAATACATGTGTTTCTTTCTTTCTCAAGAATCTGTAGCCAGTTGTGTAAATGGACACATTCTACACCATTGTAAGAGGCCACATTTCTTGATAGCCGGAAGAACTAATCTCTCTGAAGTATGTTCATCTCTCAATACAGCTTCCTGTAAACTATCCAAAATACAATGTCTCTTGAATTTTTAATAGCCTTATTTTTCTAAAATATTTACTGTTTTCGAAGGCGTTGTAATTTTATGTTTTAGGAATACACGATAGATGTTTTCTTTCGACAAAAATGGAAAGATGAGCGTTTAAAATTTAAAGGTCCTATGAATATCCTCCGACTTAACAATTTGATGGCTAGCAAAATCTGGACTCCAGACACCTTCTTCCACAATGGAAAAAAGTCAGTGGCTCATAATATGACCATGCCAAACAAGCTCCTTCGAATCCAGGATGATGGAACCCTGCTGTACACCATGAGGTATGTTGGTGTGATATATTACCAATGACTCTAAGAAATCATTCATTTAAAAGCTAGGGAAGAGGACCTCCCCTATCAGTGGACTTGGAGAAGTATAAGAGATGAGGGAGGAAAGGTAAGATTGGGAGGGAATAAAGGAGGGGGCTACAGCTTGGATACAAAGTGAGTAAACTGTAATTAATGTAAAAAATAAAAATATAATAAAAAAGAAAAATCTAGGGAAGGTATGGTTAAATATTATCTCAAGTTGAATATTTTCCTAAAATTACTAAATAGCTCATGTTTTGTTTCATGAAAGTCTGGGAATGTAAATAAAAATGTACTTAAAATGAATTAAAATTTTAAGCTTAAAGATTCTCTTGGTTGTTAAAAATTGATATTTTGCTTTTCTTAAAATTACATTTTAATTAAAAAAGTTTAGTATATGACTATACATTTGTTTAGAGAAATATGTAATTTGCTTTTCTGTATCCCATCCTGTAGCCTATCCAATTTTTGGTGATTTTTAAGTGAATGTTCTAATCTGTATTATCATACGTTTTATGTATTAAGTAAATTGGTTAATCTTAAATCATGTGTTATGCTTAACCATATAAAATTCCTATTGCATGATTTAAAATAATCATAACCTCAATTTCATACAGTTTGTCCTTTTTCGAAAATATAGAAATACAGGCTGGAGGGATGGCTCAGAGGTTAAGAGCACTGGCTGCTCTTCCAGAGGTCCTGAGGTCAATTCCCAACACCCACATGGTGGCTCACAACTATCTATAATGAGATCTGGTGCCCTCTTCTGGTGTGCAGGCAGAATATTGTGTACATAATAAATAAATCTTAAAAAAAAGAAAATATAGAAATATGTGTAGTTGTTGATCCTTACAATTACATTTTAAGCATTCTCATGAATATTTTAAAATAGATTCACTTTATTACATGAGAACTAAAAAAATCTTAAACCTAGTAAGGTGACATAGAATTAAAAGTCAGTGCTTAATGAGGGATTTGAATATCAGAGTGCTGCCATTGATGCTGTATGCCTATGGGCATCATGTTCTACATATTTGATATCTTATAATGCCACATGAAAAGTTAAGTACTTGATTTTATTGATTAAAATTCCTTTCTGTTGTGCCTGGTGGTATCAGGTAATAAAAGAGTTAAGTACTGATTTCTGGAAGACCATTAACTATAATGCAATGGGAGTACTGGGTTATTCTTTTCCCTATTTTGGTATACTGCAAAACTTAGATGTTGCAGCCTTAATGGTTTTATGCTTAAACCACTTATTTGAATAGATTAAGGTGCTTTGTTTACATACTGTTAGGGACAATTACAAAGGGCTCTATTTAAATACTATTTGAAGCTTATGCCAGAGTTGGCTGACAACCACCCTTTTCTCAGCTTAATTAGAATAGATTTTCCTTCTTGTTCAGCTTACTTCCTGTTTATTTACTTTGTTTTTATGTGAAATGGAAATAATTAGAGCTGTTCTTCATAACAGGTCTTCTATGATTACTCTTTGTTATACTATACTCAGATATAAAATATGTTTTGATATTCATGAATTTATATCCATTTTTTTAGGTAAAAATTCATGTGAACAATGTATTTTTAGGAGATCTATCCATCTATCTATAGCTGGTCTATTTCTAAACACGTACTTACGTATATAAAAACAAGATATTATACAATTGCCTAACTTTAAGGAATCATTTGCTAAAGTATTCCATCCACTTTTCTGTGTAGTTAATGAGATGAGAAAAAAGATGTCCCTTTCCGTGATAGAGCTTTAAGCATCTTCAGCTATTAAATATTGATAGGGATGTTAATGGCAAACCATTTTTCAAATACATATATAATTTATCTATATTGTGTTTAAACCTCTTGAAGCCTAATGTAAAGCTTTAATTCTGTTAAAAAAAAAACAACAAAAAAAACAGTAACAAGTGATTTATCTTGACTAGCAAATCCACTTAAATCAAGAGTGGAATTTTGACTTCTAGGCTTACAGTTCAAGCTGAATGTCCAATGCACTTGGAGGATTTTCCAATGGATGCTCACTCATGCCCACTGAAATTTGGAAGCTGTAAGTATGGATGAAAGTATATTTTTTGAATAAATAAAGTCATCAGTAGGCAACGTATCTGTTGAATTGTGCAGTTCATTCTCATATTGTGGGATGTATCATAAACTGACTAATAGTATGCAGAAGTGAAAGCTATGATGATTACCCTTGAGGAGCTAATTGGAATGTCCTTTTGTTCATTCAAGTATTTTAATTTTTTTTTATTTTTTCAGTTTAAATCACCATTTCTTTTCATTATTAATAAAGAATTCTCCATTTTAGTTTGTGAATAAAACTAAATCAAGGCTGTTGTAGAGTCAGTACTATAATTTATCCATATTTTCCTCATGCTAGCATGTTGAAAATGTAAAATAAATTATTTTTCATCTTAGAGTGAATTATATATGAACAATTCTACTACTTGTTTCTTATTGGCCTGCTACAGAGGTCAGAAAAAGAGCTGAATCCTGTGCAGTGGTCTATCTTCCACTGGCCTGATGGAAGAAATTCTTTATTTTCCTTAGAATACATATAATGAAGATGACAACATTTGATTGTTACATGATAGTATATTCTTTGTACATAGATTGTTTCTGAAAGTTTCTGTGCCTCTGGCCATTCTCTAGGTCACTGGGTTGTATCCACAATGCCAAGCATAAGCATTCACAGTATTGAAGAATGAAAGAGGCAAAGTCAGGTCATCTTTCTGGACCCACAGAACACTCCAGGCACGTTCAGGACTAATTCACCAGTGCAGTTAGGCAGCCTCCTTCTGTCTGGACATGCCTTCTTCCCTGACCTTTTTCAAAGCAGTGCTCTTTCTGACATACCATTTTTGTGCATTCTGACCAGCTGCAGGCTTTCCTTTTTCTGGATAAATAGAAGTTCCCATGTCTAACCTGATTAAATGTACGACTGAAGGAGAACGAATGTATCTTCTCATAAACTACAAACTCAGTGAAAATTAATGGTCAATTCCTCTATTGACCATGGCACATTCCTCTATTGTTTTTCTTCTTTTCTTTTTTTTTAAATTAATTTATTTTTTTATTACTTTCATTTTTTTATATTAAAACATCTAAACATCTAATTTTATTTAATAAATTATTTTGCATTGGCAGGTAGCATACATAGCATATAGTACTATATGTTTTTTCCTTTTTTATTTATTTTTTTAATTTTATTTTTTTCTTATCAGTTACATTTTATTAACTCTGTATCTCAGGCGTATCCCACTCCCTCATTCCCTCCCAATCCCACCCTCCCTTCCTCATCTCTACCGTGCCCCTTTCCAAGTCCACTGATGGGGGGGACCTCCTCCCCATTCCTCTGATCCTGTTTTATCAGGTATCTTCAGGACTGGCTGCAAAGCCCTCCTCTGTGGCCTAACAGGACTGCTCCTCCCTTGGGGGGTGGGGAGGCCAAAGAGCCTGCCATTGAGTTCCTGCTAGAAATAGTCCTTGTTCCCCTCACTATGGGAAACCAATTGGTTACTGAGCTACCACAGGCTACATCTGAGCAGAGGTTCTTGGTTATATCCATACATGGTCCTTGGTTGAATGTCAGTCTCAGAAAAGACCCTGTGCCCAGATATATTTGGTCCTTGTGGAGCTCCTATCCTTTCCCCATCATACTAACTCCCCTTCTTTCATATGATTCCCTGTACTCTGCCAAAGGTTTGGTCATGAGTCTTTGTATCTGCTTTGAAAACACTGCTAGTTAGAGTCTTTCAGATTCGCTCAGTAGACTCCTGTCATACGTTCAATGCACATCCCATCTGTTTTTCTAAACGAGGATTGATCATCTTACCCCATGTCCGCTCTCTTGATTATCTTTTTAGGTGTATAGATTTCATTATGTTTATCATATCTTATAGGTCTATATAAGTGAGTATATACAGTGTTTTTCTTTCTCCTTCTGGGATATTTCACTCAGAATGATCTTTTCTAGATCCCACCATTTGCCTGCAAATTTCATGATTTCCTTCTTTTTGATTGCTGAGTAGTATTCCATTGTGTAAAAATACCATAATTTCTGTATCCACTCCTCCGTTGATGGACATCTGGGTTGTTTCCAGGTTCTGGCTGTTACAAATAAAGCTGCTACAAACATGGTTGAGCAAATGTCCTTGTTGTGTACTTGAGCAAATTTACTTGAGCATATAGTACTATATGTTTTTTTTTCCTTTCTTATTTTTATTAATTACACTTTATCACTTTGTATCCCCCCATAAGTCCCTCCCTCCTCCCCTTGGGATCCCATCCTTCCACCCCCTTCTTCACGCATGCCCCTCCCCAAGTCCACTGATAGGGGAGGTCTTCCTCTTCTTCTTTCTGATCATAGTCTATCAGATCTCATCAGGAGTGGCTGCATTGTCATCTTCTGTGACCTGGTAAGGCTGCTTCCCCCTCAGAGGGAGGTGATAAAAGAGCAAGCCAATCAGATTATGTCAGAGGCAGTCCCTCTTCCCATTACTATGGAACCCAGTTGGACACTAAACTGCCATGGGCTACTTCTGTGCAGGGCTTCTAGGTTATCTCCAAGCCTGGTACTTGGTTGGAGTATGAGTCTCTGGGAAGACCCATGTTCAAATTTTCTGGTTCTGTTGCTCTCCTTGTGGAGTTCCTGTCCTCTCCAGATGTTACTATTTCCCACTTCTTACATAAGATTCCATGCACTCTGCTCAACAGTTGGCCATAAGTCTCAGTATCTGCTTTGATAGTCTGCAGGGTAGAGCCTTTCAGAGGCCCTCTGTGGCAGGTTCCTAGGTTGTTTCCTGTTTTCTTCTTCTGATTTCCTTCCTCCTTGTCTTTCAAGATGGGGACTGAGCATTTTAGTCAGGGTCCTCTCTCTTGATTAGTTTCTTTAGATGTACATATTTTAGTAGGTTTATCCTATATTGCATGTCTATATGAGTGTGTATATACCATGTGTGTCTTTCTGCTTCTAGGACAGCTCACTCAGGATGATCCTTTCAATTTATTCATTTTGTATCCCAGATGTAGCCCCCTACCTCATCCCCTCTCAATTCCACCCTTCCTCCCTCTTCTTCTTCCTGCTTTGTGGAGAGGTTAAGGCTTGTATGCTTTGTGGTACCCTTGTAGAAAGAGGGAATCTCAGTTTTCTTTGAGAACCTTCTCTGGGCTTAACCACAAGGCTTTCTTTGTTGTCATGAGAACCATCATTTCAAAACTGGCATTTCTTCCAATATTATTTAAGATAGTCAATCATGTTATACAACGTAAACACAGTGTTGAGAAAACCAGAACAGATGCAGCAGAGAAACTCATTTGCATTGCATAAGTGACATTAAAGAGAAACTTGAAAAGCTTTGGCACCAAAAAGAATTTATGCAAGATGCCATAATGATATGAGAAGGACAAGTGTTTCCAGTAGATGAGTTATTGTTACTATGACATCAGATGTCAGTGGCCAGATGCCTCAATACTGAAAGTGAAATGAATTTGCTTAGAAGTGTTTGATCTCAAATTAGAAGCTTCAGAGAGCGCAGCTACAAAGTAATGGGATATCGGATGCCTGAGATTATTACGGTTTGTTCTGTGCAGAATGCATGTGGTCAATATGCAAAGTTTCTGTTCCCTATATTTTTCAATGTAGTTATTAATTTTATTTTGCTTTCTTCGCATCCATGTTCTGACACATTGCACAAGCAGTTTACGCATTCCGGTATTTATCTCTGTGTATAGCAGGTGCTTGCGGCATCTGTGCTAGCAGTATGGAGAGCACTGTGAAGCGAGAGAACAACCTTAACATACTGGCACAAAAAGTTTTGGCAGAAGCAACCATGGCATTATCTTGTAGTTATTTCTTGCTCTCTTTGAGAAGTACCAGCTCCATAAGAGAACTGAATTTCTGGAACTTTATCATTCTCCTTAAATAAAAGAAGCATCTTTTCTGTATTTCTGAAATTTAAAATTCATTCTTGTTTTACTCATATAATCTTAAACCTTTATGTTTTTAATGTTTCATTGATTTGAAATTTCCTGAAAATAAGTATAGTGTTACTCTGTACATTAGCTTCAAGAAAAAAAAAAGCCACCTTGAAAGCTTATATTTTTAGGACAAATGTTAATAGCTTAAGATGATTTGGAAATACATTAATTGACTACCAACTATTAAGTAAGTGATTATAAACATGTATAATGCAGACTAGCACTCAAACATAGGTTATTTGAATAAATTAAAATCCCTGTACGAAATCCTTCTTTCAATGTGGCATTTATTTTTTTAATTTTTATTTATTATTTATCACAATTAGTCACTTTGTATCCCAGCTATAGAACCCTCCCCTAGTCCATTGGTAGGGGAGGAAGACCTCCCTTCTATCTGACCCTGGCCTATCAGGTCTCTTCAGGACTGGCTGCATTATCTTTTCTGTGGCCAGGCAAAGCTGCACCCCCTGTCCCAAGGGTGGAGATGAACAACCTGCCACTGAGTTCATGCAGAAAAAGCCCCTGCTCCCTTTACTACGGAACCCACTTGGAGACTGAGTCTATGGGCTGCATCTGAGCAGAGGTTTTAGGTCATCTCCGTGTATGGTTGGAGTATCAGTCTCTGTAGGGCCCGAAGGGTCCATCTTTTGTTTTTTTTGTTGTTGTTGTTTGTTTGATTTTTTGTTTTTGTTTTTGGCTCTCTTGGTCCCCTTGTGGAGCTACTGTCCTCTCCAGGTCTTTCTATCTCCCAGTTCTTTCATAAAATTCCATGCCCTCTGCCCAAAGTTTGGCTATGAGTCTCAGCCTCTGCTTAGATACCTCGATCAGAGTCTTTCAGAGGCTCTCTGTAGTAGGCTCCTGTCTTGTTCTCTATCTTCTCCCACTTCTGATGTCTATCTTGTTTGCCCTTCTGAAAGAAGATTAAACCTCTTCCCTAGAGTCCTTCTTGTTTAGCTTCTTTAGGACTATAGATTTTAGTATGTTTATTCTATATGTCTAATATCCACTTACAAGTGAGTATATACTGTGAGTGTCTTTTTGCTTCTGGGCTGCTTCACTCAGGAAGATCTTTTCTAGTTCCATCCATTTGCCTGCAAATGTCATGTTTTCCTTCTTTTTAATAACTGAGTAGTATTCCATTGTATTTATAAAGCAATTTTTAAACCAAGGTTTTTCTTCTTTTGAAAATAACTTCCTTTCAAAATTTGAAATTGTGGGTGTGTGTAGGGAGAGATAGATTCACATGACTGCAGGAGCTTACAGAAGCCTAAGAGAGCATCAGATCATCTGGAGATGGGGTCTCAGGAATTTGTGAGCCCACCCAGCATGGGTGCTTAGAACTAAACACTGTTTCTCTGCAGGGGTGATACCTGCTCTTAACTGCTAAGCTATGTCTCCATCCTCTTTCCTTCATTTATACTTTATTGATAAGCATCATGATGGCCTCCTGGCTGACCTGATGGTCTGAGCACAAGGGAATGCTTCTGAGCTGCACTACATTACATTCCATTTCTTGTCCTTTCACTACACTAAACATATACAAAACCAGATCATATAGATTATTAGTTAACAAATTCAGTAAATGCTTTTTTGATATTCATATAGAGAAAATGTGTTCAATACATTTTCTATAATGTGTTCATGGACTAATGTCAGATATGCAGATGAAATTTAATTTACATAGTTAGCTTAATTATTACCTTAGCAGGAGCAAATTGAGAACACTTACAGAAATAAATCAGATAGTCTTTGCCCACATGCATCTCATAATTTTTAAAAGAATATCATCAGTTTTCTAGACTTTAAAATCTGTTAGTGATATCTAGTGGTAATATGAAGATTCAAACAATGTTTTTTTGGTTTTTTAAATTGTGCAGTATTGGAAATGCTTTTGTAGGAAGAAGCAGCATGTTTACTCTTGAGGGAAACAAAGCAATCCACTTGATCTACGAATGAAGGCTTAGTTACCTACATTGCTAACTTATTATTTAATGTTTGCGGTGGCATCACAAGTAATTATTTAATTGAATTCACCTAAATGGCAACTTAGACTTTAAAAAACTAGAGTTTACATGTTCAAATATATTTATCTATTAAAGTATTGTAGAAACATCTATAAATATGTCTGTAGAGCTACAACTATTTTTAGAATCCTATTTCAAATATTGTTTTATATAACATAATTTATTTGAAGATGCATAAATCCATATATAAGTATAAGGAGTATATAACTGATATTAACATTGGTAGCAATATTCAGAAATCCATATAACATTGAATGTCATTTAAAGATCATACAGCTAATGAAAAAAACATACATATTAACATCTCCTGTGTTGCACCTGATACTTGAATGGAAATCAATTTAGGTTGCACACCTTAGTTCGAGTTTAGTGGGAGGACCCTGTTGGTTCCCTGGTATTATGTGCAAATATCTTTACAGAACAAAGAAAGAAAATACAGAAGGCAAAGATAATGCTAGAAAAAAAAAAAAAAACTGGTCCTGTTTTCCTCCCTAGATGAGACTGCCACATCATATTGTTTTTGTCTCCCAAGCAGCCATATAAAATACAAAAGTACAACTAAGTTCTCCAAAGGTTGGCACTAGAGCAGAATTGTCCACACCTTTACATGCTGTTGTGAGGAGACTCACTGCGCTGGGACTAGGGGAGGGGAGGGTTTAGCTGGTCCAAAATAGGACTCACAAGGCAAAGGAAGTAGCAGCACAGAGAGCTGCTAATGCCAGATGTGCAGCCTCTGTTCAACTCCAGAAGCAGCTTATTCTGATAAGTTCTTTATATTTGGTCAAATACAATGATGTTATGTTTCCTCTTTCTGTTAATCCGTAACTGGAATGCTACACAAGTACATTGTTGATCATTAGTTAGCTTATAAGTGGAGATGTTCGAAAATGCATTTATAATGTCATGATACTATATAATATTCTAATTTATTTTTAATGTCTGCAATTATTTCTTATTGTCCTACTTAAATGCCTTCATTCAACATTACTTAAGTTATCATTTCCTAACTAAATAAGTTTAATGTTTAGAAAACCAAATACTTTTAGATTATAATTTTGATTTCACGGAAGGTCACAATTTCAAAATAAACTGCGTGACTACCTTTGTTTCTTCTTTTTTTAATTTTAATTTTATTTTATTTTAATTGTACTTTATTTACTTTGTATCCCCCCTCTAGTTCCCTCCCTCCTCCCTTCCCAATCCCTCCCTTCCTCCCCCTTCTCCACGCATGCCCCTCCCCACGTTCACTGATAAGGGAGGGTTTCTTTTTCTTTCTTCTGATCCTAGTCTGTTAGGTCTCATCAAGAGCTGGTGCATTGTCTTCCTCTGTGGCCTGGTAAGGCTGCTCCCCAATCAGGGGGAGGTGATCAAAGAGCAAGCCAATCAGTTCATGTCAGAAACAGTCCCTGTTCCCATTACTATGGAACCCACTTGGACACTGAACTCACAATGTCTTTGTCTGCTTGGGAAACAGTGACATTTACTGGCTCTAAAGAGAAATTTACTCGTCTCCTTTCAAAGTGGTAGCAATGAAAATATTTTCATGTTCATGATTCGCTCTCCTGTACCTCTCCATCCATATAATTTTAAAGTTATAGATTCAAAGGCATATTTCCCTCTAAATCTGTGAGCATTAAAAATGTTGATTTGTGAGACAATAGCTACTGTATGGAATCTAAACTTGTAAATGGACCATGTGGTTAGTGTTTTTCATTCAATGTTTCCAAAATGTGTTCCTTGTCCCTGACAGATGCTTACACAACCTCGGAAGTCACTTATATTTGGACTTATAATGCTTCTGACTCAGTTCAGGTTGCTCCTGATGGCTCTAGATTAAACCAATATGATTTGCTGGGCCAGTCAATTGGGAAGGAGACAATTAAATCCAGCACAGGTTAGTAACATTTTTAAAATACATCTAATGCCCAATCCCCCAAAAATATACTAGGATAAAATCATTAAAAATGTGTCAGATGATTAAAAACATTTTATCTTTGGACTCGTTAGACTAATGACACCAGTTTCTTGGGAGCTTTTGAAACATTCAAAAATCTTAAACCAGTCTTTTACTGAAGCGGGGTCTATATTTTAACAAGGTTCCAGGGAGATTCATATATGTGTGCTTGGTTTTAAACACCATGTCTTAAAACAAACATACTACTCACTCAACAATATTTGTCTTTTCAGATCAGTCTACTTTCATATTTATCTTCAAAGCAGGAACAACAATTTCTCTGGTTTTCTCATTTTTTTCTCCTATTGTGGATAATTTATGATTATTCAACTCTTGATTCTGGGTAATTGCCACTGTCCTGCACGGAGAGCTCCTATCTGAGGCTCTCCTCAGTAAAGAAAAAGGCAGCTGTGTGGACCAATTATCTTACATCTGGCAATCATTAAAATCGTGGGAGGGAGAGAGAGAACAAAAAAAAAGAAAAAAAAAACAGAAGGTAGGTGTGAGAATTAGACAAAACTGACTGAAGCAAATTACAGCAGGCATAAAGCAGAGAAAAAGTCAGAAATGGTGACAGAGTTTAATGTGAAAAACCTGGGCTGAAAGAGCAGTGTCAGCAACGAGACCCAGAACAGGTACTTTGGAGATCCAGAAAAGTTTGTGTCAGATCAATCACTGTAGCAGCATGAGGGACTTAAGCCTAGAAGATCATCCACTAGCAGAGTCTTTAAACTCATGCTGAGGAGTGGGCATGACCTAAACAGAAAAATGAACACCATGTCATGGGGCAAAGCAGCGCAATGTTGTTGACAGTGGGTAATTCTTTTTTTAAATACTCATTCTAATGAAGCATTTCAAGTGTTCATGAAATGTGTGTGATCATTTCTTCTTCTTCTTCTTCTTCTTTTTTTTTTTTTTTATCATGGACTATTCTTCTAATCCCTTCCATTTCCAAATTGTTCTGACTATTGACAATTACAGTTCCTTAAGCTTCTTAAATTCTCCTTCCAGGTGAATATACTGTAATGACAGCTCATTTCCACTTGAAAAGAAAAATTGGGTATTTTGTGATTCAGACCTATCTGCCTTGCATCATGACTGTCATTCTCTCTCAAGTGTCATTCTGGCTTAACAGAGAATCTGTGCCTGCAAGAACAGTGTTCGGTGAGTGAACGCCTGGAGAACAGCACATTTTGTCTCGAAGGGTTCTTCCCAAAGTTTCTCTCTTTTGATTCTCGTCACTTCAATGCCTTGTGATATATACTGCAGGAAATGTTGGTTGTGATTTATAGATGAGAAGACAGAGGCCCAGACCTATAAACTGTAATTAGTACCACACTCTTAATAAAGGCATGAGTTACACAAATATGCTGAAATTACATTTAGTTGGGTTTTTTTTAGCTTTTTAAAAATATTATTTTCTCTTTATTCATCCAGCGTTTTATCATTCATCTCTATGCTAACAGAAAAGGTGTTTTCCTTGTTTTTTTTTTTGTTTTTTTAGATTTTAATTTAGGGTGGAAGAATATTATATTTAAAGGTCTCCTATATTAATTTCTCTTTCTTCCCCTTCTTAATGAAAAAAAAAAGTGATATTAGTTCTTCCAGTCACAAGAAAAGGAAAATATTGAGCAAGAATTTCTTTACTTTCATTGGGGCATTTGATTTTCTTAATTAAACGAAGGTGAAGGAGTTTTCAAATTTAAAGCGGAGAATATCAGGTTTTAAGGCTGTATTTACTTTGGTTTTACTCTAAAGTGAAAAGAATGTAACCTATTAATTTTAGATGGAGACGGAGAAAGTTATCCATTTACACAGTGTATTTGGTACAGCCGCCTCCTCTCCTTCGCAGCAATGCTCTACTGCGTAACTGAGACAGGCTTCCATCTCTTCAGGGCTAAGATTGCAAGTGCACACCACCAGACCCACTTAAAATTTAACATTTTAAAACAGTGCAGAAGAATTTGATGATTTTTTTTCCTAGCGTAGAAAAGGCTGAGCCCATGTTATATCCAATTGTCTCTGTGTCTTTGTGTGTGTGTGGCACTCTCATTCATTTATGAAAGTGTTGCTGAGAGGAACTGGGAAAGCAAAACACACAAAATATATCCCGCACCCAGGCGGTTTGGTTAGTGGCTGGAAACAGAATAACCAAAGGATAATCCAGTATGGGATGAAGGGTTTATTGCAGTGCAACATTCACACTGGTATAGAAACCTGAAACACTATTCTCTTAACTCGAAGTCAGTGAATACTATGGTGACTTTATATTTAAGATATGTCAGTGGACTTGGGGAGGGGCATGCATGTAGAAAGGGGGGGGGAAGGGGGGAGGAGGGGGGGAGGGGCTTATGGGGGGATACAAAATGAATAAAGTCTAATAAATAAAAAAAGACAGAGTTTGCATAAGAAATCTGATCCCCCCCCCCAAAAAAAAAGATATGTCTTAGAATGAGTAGGAATGTCTTGAGAAGATGGGCTGAGCAAAATAGTCACCAAGGAGAATGGAGTGTCAGTAATGTTAAGGAATGAATAGACACATTGTGTTTGGTGATGGACAGTGGAGATCCAGATAGAGATATAGTGCAAGGCCTTAATGAGAATGGGACTGCAGCTCATCTTAGTAGAACTAATCTCCAGTTACAGAACAGGCGATTTGTTATGGTGTTCTGATGTCATGATATTGGTAAAACCCTCAGGAAAAACATGCTTGCTATTTACTACATGCTATATATTTTATTTTGATAACTATTTTGTTGCATATTAATGACCCATATAAAACTATATTTAATATATCCCAATGAGTATGGATATTAGGGAATACACATGAAATGTTATGGCCATTATCTTCTTCCTTTTATCTCCTTTCTCATTTTTATAAATGTTGGAAGCACTTAACATGAGTTTCATTCGCTTGGCAGAAATTATTCATATCATACAACATTGTTAGTTATTAACATGATGTTGTGTGGCAGATTTCTAAAATGTATTTATATGTTTTAAAGTTATAATTTTTAGGCTGATGTGATCCTATTTGTAATTTAGAAAAAAATTGTCACTGTTGTAGAAGCTTAAATATAAGAAATAACCAGGTATGAACAAAGTTAGAGACATATTTAAATAGCCCAATAGAGTAAAATGATATTGTTAATAAAGAATATTTAGGGAAATAAGAAAATATTAAATATTATTAGGAAAAGGTCAGGGAGTCTGGATAGATATGCATCATAACTGTAGAGAAAGAATAATTTAATAGAAGATTTAAGATAATTTTTCTTTGTTTATTTTAGTGAATGATGTAATTAACAAAAGAAAAATTAACAGAATAGAAAATTTAGGGAAATGAATGTATTTCAGGTTCTGTTGATTTTGATTTTGAGGTTACTTATAATATCAGTTTTCAGTTCAGTGAACATAGTATATAGAACATAAATCAATGGCAAACATGGGAATCACTGGCTAATAGGCAATGGAATTCATGGATTTCCATAGGATTTACATAGGGTACAAATTAGCTGGGAGAATATAGGGCCAGGGGAAAGAATCCTTACTAAATTTGAATTGTGAGATTTAGAAACGTTTATAAACTGAATAGTATGTTCGGAGAATTAGGAAGAAAATAAAATTTCAACCTCACATAAACAGGAACATATTAACAGCTAAATATATATTCTTCCCCTGAGATATAGTCTCAGCTGTCATAATAAAAAGTTTTTCATTTTATGGGACTGTTCTAGAAAGAACTAAGCAGGTGCAAAATGCACTAAGAAAGGAATGGAAGACCATTTTGTGTCGGGCAACTATTCTTAGGCATGGGCTCTTTACAGGAATGTGGTTGGTATGGTAGCTTTTGCCTTACTGATTTATTTCCTTCCTTCCTTCCTTCCTTCCTTCCTTCCTTCCTTCCTTCCTTCCTTCCTT